TTCTAGCTCCCATATAAACCCAACAAACAACATTTAGGAATCATTCCAACAAATAGACACAAATTATAATGGCTTCTTCTCTTTAGATTTGTCCTTGATAGTTGCAATGGCTTCTCTTAGAGCCTCACTCTTAAGCTCCACTGTCTTCCCAACGTTACGTTTCTTCTCCTCAGATTTTCCCTCAATAGTTGTAATGGCTTCTCTAAGAGCCTCACTCTCAAGTTGTCTATATAATCAACAAACCCATTTCACTAAATTAGATCAAGCAATAATCCATTGGACAATAAGACAACTACGAACGACAATCTTAGGATAGAAATCAAAAACTATAAAGCTAGAGCAATAAGAGATCTATATGAAAGATTTTTCAAGTACCTCATCTTGAGTTTCCTCTCCTTAGATGCGAGAACGATATTTGTAATGGCTTCTCTAACAGCATCACCATTAAGCTTACTATATAACAAACAAACCCATTTCTCAATTGTATGATACATTGAGCAAAAAAAAAAATGATACGATGACCAATAAGACAACGATGATTACTCTCTAAGCCATCAAAATTAGCAAACACTAAACTATAGCAATAGAGAGATCTATATGAAAATTGGTAGATGAGCAGGAAGAACTTTTCAAGTACCTCATCTTGAGTTTCTTCTCTTTTCACGAAAGATAACAACAATAAGACGAAACGAGAAGTGATGATGTCGAAGAGAGACGAATGTGATATGTAGAAATAATAGAATGATCAAGAAGATGCACCAATCAATATGAAGATATTCTATATTTATTATTGAGATATGTAAAGATTTTAGGTCTGGGCATTCGGCGAAAACCGATCAAACCGAACCGAGAAAACCGAAATTTTCGGTTCTCGGCGCCGAAGGTGTAAGGAGGAGTTAACCGATCGGCGAAATTATTTTGGGAGTTCGGTCTTCGGTTCGGTTCGGTTCGGCAGCTATGAACCGAACGGTTATACGGTTTGTTCTCAGCACCCCATCTTCTTCTTCATCGTTCCTGGTTTTGTATGTCATAACTTATGAGGAAGAAGAAGAACGGTTGCGGCCATTTTTGGGAGTATGTCGAGTTGTCGACAAGAGAAAACCCTAATGGTTTTAAAGTTTGGGCTCAAGCTAGATAATTTTTTTCATTTGGGCTAATATTCGTTGGCCCTAATTTTAATAATATTGTTTTTATTTTTATTTGGCCCAATATCTTTACAAAACCCACAGTCCATTACATAAAATATGTATGAAAAAGAAAAACCCTAGATCTAAGTCATTTCTTTTGATTTTTTCCATTTGCTTTCTTTTCTTTCTTTTGCAGCCGATTATCCTTGGAGACCCTAGCAAAACGTTGGGTTAAATAAATTTCTCTCTTCTTTAAGCCTTGTTAATCTTATACTTCTCCTTATGTTGTTTCAAATATGTGATATTCTGTCTTCTTCCTCATAGATCACTTAGATCGTCGTCAAAGCAACCGTCAATACTCAATCATCTTTCACATTGCATCTCGTCGTCAGCACGAAGCCTAAGTCCATCCACTACGGTACGGATGTTCAAGCGCCGGAGCCAGCTAGAAACTATTTCTGGTTGTCGTTGCCGTCGCCGTTGCGGCTTAACCATCAGCTTGTCGAAAACCCTAGATTTAAATGGGTTTGGGCTTGTTATTAAAATTTGGTCTGGGTTTGTGATTTTATTGGCCTTGTAAATCTTTTTGTATTACAGACAGTAAACCGAAAAATAAACCGAATAAACCGAACAAAAAAAAATTTCGGTTCAATTCGGAATAGATTTTAAAGCATGTAACCGAACCGAAAAACCCGATTACCGAACCGAACCGAACCGAATTTTAGTTCGGTTCAATTCGGCGAGATTTTTAGATAACCGAAAAACTGAAAAACCGAATAAACCGAACCGAATAACCCGAGTAAACCGAACGCCCAGGCCTAAAAGATTTGTATCTATCTTCGTTTAGGAAACCATTTCAATGTAAACATAAGTAACCCATTGCTTGTGATTGAGAGTTAATACTTAATACTAGATTTTAACCCGCGGTGTACCGCGGGATGATTTAATTTTAAAGTTAGTATAAAAATATTTTGTAAATTGTATCTCCTTATAACATATTTATTTATATTATAGTTTACAATTGTTATTAAGTAACGGTATACCACGAGTCCACGAGACAATTATTAATAAACTGAGGATTTAACCCGTATTAAAGCGGTATATAAATATTGATTCAAATTCGTCCGCCATATAAATCCTTTCCAAAATATAACCCGTTCTGTAATTTCTTAACCCGTCCCGTGATTTGTTTTTATTTTAAAATTTAATGATTATTTATTATATATAAAAATTTACAAATCATATCATTCTCTAAGACATTTATATATTTTAATAAACTAAAGATTTAATATGTATTAAAGTGGCATGTTAATGATATTTTAAAATTTTATAAATATTGTTATTAAGTAACATTATACTACGGGATAATTTTTGGTTTTATACAATCTTTTCTAAATGAGACTGATTTAATATGTCTAATATTTGTGGTATGAAAAAAAGGATTTAATCCGTATTGAAACGGCGGATTAATGATATTTTAATCTTTTTATTATTGTTGATTCAAAAACCCGTCCCGCCAAAAAATTTATTTATTTTATTAATGTTCTTATTTATGATATGATTCTAAATCATTATCTAAATATTTTAATCGATGTAGAACGTTGAACACACACTTTCGTCAATTGGATAATATATGTCCGTTTTTTAAATTTCGAATCACAGTATATGCTGGGAAAAAATTGATTTTTTTTTTTTACTTTATGTATTATATGATGATTCAAAACGGTTAAAAACAAATCAAACAAAGATGATAGGAGAATCATAATTATAAATTTTAATCAAATCTTCTAAATATCTAAATTATTAAATATGGAATATCCGGTGTATGAGTTGGGTTAAATATAATCCGATCCAACAAATTATTTGTGAAGGAATTTTAAAAACGGGTCGGATATCCGATATATCCGGAAGCATTTTTACCCACCCGTCACCAAAGTGTTGCGAAAATACTAGTATAGATACTATGTCCTAGACATAAATGTTTTGATAAAACGTTTGTTTTTATTTTTACTTTAGTGTAAAAACTATGATGTCACGATAAACAATACAAATGTAATGGGCCTACTGGCTGACTTTATGCATTAATACAACGTTTTGAACAATTGTTTTGGTGTAAAATCTATGATATATTTTTTTTAATTTAAATTAAAACAAAGTACAGTTGATTTAGAAATTTGGCATGCGTTAGGTTATTATATTAGTTAACACAACTCTATATGGTATTAGAGCTGCTAATCTTTGAAGAAGCTTAACCTCACTCCACGCAGAGGTCGAAGCATTAATTTGGACGATGAGATGTATATGATCGGCCAAGACAAGAGAGAAGTAGATTTCCTTACAGACTACTCCGACCTGGTGAAGATGGTGTCTTCCCCGCAAGAGTGGCCAGCGTTCGCATTTCGCAACATACCTAGAGTCGATTCAAAGTGACAAAGAAGAATTTGAATCTTTTTCATTACTTTAGTTTCTCGTACTACAAATGTGAAAGCGGATAAAATGGCTCGAACTATTCGTACCCAATCGCATCTTATCACCTATGTAAACAACATTCCTCCACATGGACTCATCTGAGTCAATCTGTTATAGCTGTTGACCAAAAACAAAAAAACTCTATATGGTA